CAAACTTGTATGTATGTGTGTATGTGTGTATGTGTGGCGCATGCATATATATATATATATATATATATATATATGTATATATATGTATGTATAAAAATGTGTAAAATGTGTATGTGTGTATGTATGTTTGCGCGTATGCATGTATCTATGCAACATGCGTGCATGTGTATATATATATATATACATGTACATATGCCTGGCGGTATGTCTGTATGTCTGTCAGTCTGTACTGATGCAGTCGTGCATGGATGCACGCATGCATGCGTGAACATTCGTGCATATGCATGTACGTATATATATGTATATATATAGATGCATATGCTTGTATCGATGTATGAAGTGTAAGCTTGTATGCTAGTATGCACATATATATACATAGATATCTCAATGCATGTGATGGTACATGGCTCTATGTGTATATGCATAGGTACGTATGTCGACCTGCATGTATGCGTTTTTCATGTCTACTATGGGTAAATAATCAGGTATGTGTGAACGGATGTGTGGATGTAGGTATGTGTGTATGTATGTGTGTGTGCATGTTTGGATGCATGTATGCATGCATGCATGTATGTATGCACGTGCGTATGTATCTATGTGTGTATGCACGTGTGCATGCATGTGTGTATGTATGCCTGGGTGTATGCATATATGTATGTATGGTTGTGCGTGTGTGTGTATGTTTGCATTCATATGTATGTGAGTATATGTGTCCGTGTGGCTGTATGTATGCATGCATGCATACATGCATGTGTCGATGTAAGCATATGTATATGGATCTGTATACATGTACGAATGTATGCATGCCAATATGCATGTGTATATGTATATGTGTGCCTGTATGTATGCCTGCCTCTGCCTGCCTACACGCATGCATGCATGCATGCATGTATGCATGCAGGCATGTATGAGCCTATGTATGTATGCGCGCATGTATGCATGTGTGTATGTATGTATATGCATGTATAGATGCGTATCGATGTATGGATGCATGCATGTGTGCATGTAAGTATATGTGGGAGCAGGCATGTCTGCATGAATGTAAATATCACGTTATGCATGCATGTGTGTATGTATGCCTGCATGCATGCATATATGTATTCATATTCATACCTCCATCCATACATACGTACATATATATACACACACCTATATATATATGTATATGTATCACTTGATCCTGGTCCTGCGCCCAGGATGGGCCCGGGCCAAGGGTCGGCGTGGGTGTGCTCTAACCTTGCCCTCTCCCGAGCGCCAGCGGGAGCGGCGCCAGGAACTGTGGGAAATCCCCCACGTCGCAGCACTTGCGCGCGAACCGATCCTGCAGGACGCCCCAGGAGCCGCTGGTGTCGATGGTCGCGAAGGCGGAGAGCACGGGCACCTCTCAGGAGCAAAGGAGAAACAACCACAACCGCTGGGCCCAGGGAGCCGCCCCTGGCGACCCCACCCAGTGCCGACCCAGACCCCCTAGCGGTGATGCCCTGCGCGTGACGCCCGCAGCCGAGTGCCACACACAGGGCATCGCCGCTGGCGGGTTTGGGTCGGCCCAGGGGGAGCGCGTGGGGCGGCTACGTCGTCCCAGCGGTTGTGATTGCCCCTTCTTTCTGGGAGACGTAAGACTCGGGTACAAGGGACTCGGGTTGGCCCGACGGGGGGCATCATCAAAATGACGAGAGCCAATCTGAAATTTGGCGCGGGCTCCCGCTGCAGAAATCCCACGAAAACTGGACCGTCAAAATCCAGGACGCGCTCGAAAAAAAACTTCGGCGAACCCGAATTCCGGCTTATTCGACTCTTACGTTTCCCCGATTCTACGTCCATGAACCTCGCCCGCGTTGTTGATGCGGGCAACAAAGTCGCAAAGCGGCGTCAGCTTGTTCAGCGCCTTGTCCATGGCTCCGAGCGAGGCCTGGATCAGGCTTTCTGGCACGTTGCGGCCCGTTCTCTCGGCTCGTATCTCGATGCGCTGCCGGATGATCGCCTCGTCCGCGAATACGTACATGATGGAGATCCGGTAGTGCGGATATCGAACTCTGATATCCGCCATGAAGGAAGCTGTTCCTGATGGAAACACTTCCTGCAATCTTTCATCGTTTTCGGGCCTTCGGGGCCCTGTACGGGGCCCGGGGCAGTCAGAGAAATACTCGAGGTGGCGAATTGGTCCTGGGGGAACACTGTTGGGCCCAGGACCCGTTTCCCTCAAAACCCGCTTCCTTCATGCCACAATGTCTTCGAATACTCGGGCGTAGAAATCCGCATTCCGGAGCGATCCGTCAATCCAGATGTTTTGGCGCCTGTCCATGGCGGCATACTGCGCGACCTCCATCATCAGAGACGACTCCATGTGGCACAGCGTGCCCGCTTCATCCCCATTGTTCTTCACGTACTTCGGCCACTCTGGCATCATCATCTTAAAAGCGTCAGGGTCAACATGCACGATGTTTTCAAGCGGAAAGAAGCCATGCTTGGACATCCAGTTCATGCAGTATCCCTTGCCAACGCCCATAGGCCCACAAGTGAACACCAGCCACGGCGCAGGCTGCTCCGACGAGCGAACAACAGTGCTTTTGATCACCTCGTCCTGCCAACACTGCCTCTCTTTGGTGTAATTGTTGTGGTACGCGTAATCCACGTTTTTCCTGAGGTGGGCGAATTCTGCGGAGAACTCCCTGTCGTCCGCCTTGTAGTTCTCGCTCGTCGGCTGCGTGAAATCGTAATTGGCCGGCGTCTTGAATCCATAGGCGAAGCCCTGCTGCAACTTCCGCACCATGAGCCGCAGCATCAGCGCACACGGGCCCTCCCTGACCGCCGCCGAGAACTGCTGCAGGCCCACCTTGCCGTGGCCGTCTGTGGGAGTGCTCGCGTACATGCGGGCGATCTCGTTGCGGCCGAGATCCTGGAACCCCAAATCTTCAGCCAGGCTGACCAGATGGTCGAGGGTAAGCCAGTAATCTTTCGGGGCGTCCAAATCCGCAAGACCGGAGTGGTCTCCCCGCTGATCAGAGGGAAGCCCGAGCGGTCACTTCCCGTGCGACGCCTTCAAGATGGCCCACGACAACTCCAAGAGGCCGCCAAGAATGCCAGACTTGCAAGACAAACCCACACATATCGAATTGCGCACAAGAGGATCCAGAGTCGCGCCGCCAGGGCTTGTAGGAGACGACAAATGTCACATGCCAAACAACACGCAAAAGAGGTACCACTGTTCCTGCAGATGCGTGTGTGTGTGAGTGTGTGTGTGTCTGTGTGTCCCCTCTGCCTCCGCCCCCTTCCCTCCCGGCGCTGCTGGTTTCCCACTCTTTCTGCCGCCTCGTGTGCGGGCTCGCCCCTGTCTCGCAACGGCGATCCCCTGCGCACTCCGCACAGCATGCAGAAGAGAGGGGTGCCGAGGGAAGCGCGCCCTGCCCTGGACCCTGGGGGCCCTCCCCCGGGGCCAGCGCTTCTCTCTGAGCCGACGGCGACGGCAAAGGCGACGGCGAGGCAGCTGGAGAGGAGACGGGTCCGGAATGCAGCGGGCTCCGAGGGGTCTCTCGCTGCTCTCGGGCGCTCTCAGAGCCCAAGGGCTGCGCCGCCCCCCCCCCCGTCGTCGTCGTCGTCGTCGTCGTCGTCGTCGTCGTCGTCGTCGTCGTCGTCGTCGTCGTCGTCGTCGTCGTCGTCGTCGTCGTCGTCGTCGTCGTCGTCGTCGTCGTCGTCGTCGTCGTCGTCGTCGCCAATGCCTTTGCCTTTGCCGTCGGCTCAGAGAGAAGAGCTGGCCCTGGGGGAGGGCCCCCAGGGTCCAGCGCGCGCTTCCCTCGGGACCCCTCTCTGCATGCTGTGCGGAGTGCGCAAGGGATCGCCGTCGCGAGACAGGGGCGAGCCCGCACAAGAGGCGGCGAGCCCCGGGGGAAAAACGAGAAGGAAGGGGCGGGCCTTCTCCGAAGGCTCCGAAGTCCCCAGGCCTTCTGAGAAGTTCTCTGCGCTGTCCCCGGAGACGCGGGGAAACTTCTCGGAAGGCCGGCGGACTTCTGAGAAGCTCGGCCGCCTCCTGAGGAGGCCTTCTCCTCCTAACTTCCCCTCCTCGCTCGCCGCCGAACAACTTGTCCGCCGCCGGGGACGCCTTGCCTCAAGTCGGGCATGTCTCCCTTCGGGGGATTTTGGACGAAAAAACAAGAACACCCCAAAATACTCCCAAATGGTTGAAAATAGTACAAATATCGTCCCCAGACTATTCTTTGCCTATGTTTGAATATTCCTCCTGCAGAGGGACAGGCCCGACTTAGCCTTGCCCCAGGGCGGCCGGAACTTCCATACCTCCGCCGCGTGGCACGTCGGGGCGTCAACTGTCCAGCCATCCTGGGCCGGGCGTCCCCGATACGGCGGGCAAGTTTACCCTTGCGCCGCTTAGCTCGGCCAGGCCTGCAAGGCGACCTTTCGACCTACGAGTGCCCCTCGGTGCGGGCCCAGTGGGGTCCCCCCCCAATCGCTGGAGGCGACGCGGTGGCAGCGGCCTGCGTGCCCATGTGTTTGGCCAGCCAGCGTCCCCCGTGCAGCCGCGAACCAATGGTCACGCTTGCCTGGGGTCATTCTTGCGTGTAGCCGATTGGCCCAGTATCGTTTCACCGGCCCGTTTTGCCTCGACCTCCAGGGACCCTCGCCGGGCTTCGGGACCGTCCAAAACAGCTCGCAATGAAAACTGGCCCTGGGGAAGGGTCGGTATGTCTGGGGGCGGCGTGTTGAAAGCACCAAGACATCGCATGTCTGAGATGGCCAAGCAGCCTGACGGACGCATCCCTCGGGGGGCGAGGTCGCTGGAAAGCACCCGACGCGCGAGCTTCCAGGGCTCTGGAGTCAGTACCGCTTAACCCACCCCCACCCCCATCTCACACCCCACCATCTCACCACCCCAGCTGGGGATGGACCCCCTTGAAACCCGAAGGGAGCAGCCTATGTCCCCATCCAAGGGATAGATCGGCCAGTGGGCCCAGGCCATGGCAGTGGGCATGGGGATCGGGGAAACGTTGCTCATCCGCAGACGAAGAACGGCCGCCCCTCTCCCCCCCTGTCCTGCCAGTCCCTCCCTTCCTCTGTCGTCTCTGGCCCAGCCTGCCCGTCGCAACTCGGGGGCGCCGTGCGGCCGCAGGTCAGTGCCGCCGTCCGGGCTCCTGCTCCGTCTCCGCCGCTCCCCTTCTCTTCCTTGCTCTTGCCATCATTGTTATGATGCTTCTGCTCTTGCCATCATTGTTATGATGCTTCTGCTTGGTCTCTTGCTCCCTGGCCTCACGACGCGCCGAAAGCGAACGCCAACTCCGCGGCACACGTGTCGTGGAGGACCTCCGCCCGAGTCGCCAGCTGCACGCCTGTCGGAAGTGCAGCCGCCCGCTGGGCCAGGCCAGGCCGGAGCTGAACCACGACGGGGCACTGCAGGCTCTGCTCGCAAAGCATCCGACGCCTGCGGTCGAGCTCGCTTGGAGAGGACACGCGATAGAACAGAAGACCCCTCCGAGGGCCACATTGCCACAGGAATGCGAAAGGCATGGGTCGCCAAACGCAAGACACAAGGGCACCCTTGATTTGGCTGGGTCGGCCAACACATCACCCCCCTCGATTGTGCCCAGAAGAGGTCGCCACGGCATGTCGCTGCCGGATCTCTCGATCGCTGGCAAGCTTACTCGCACTCGCCGTCGTTTCTCTTGCTCTTCTCGCTTCTCTCTCGCAGATCTCCTCGTGCCTGATTGTTAGGAGGATGTCTGCAGCAATGTGAGCCGCAACGGGGATCCGACACCCCAACGTCGAGTGGACCCGTAGTTCCGCGAGTGGTCGCAAACTGGTGCCTCTGTCAACAGCTATTACCCCTTTTATCTCGCGCCTCATCTTTGCCACACCTGGCCCGTCGAATTCGCCTCTGACCAGAATCACACCACTGGTGCACGCCACCATGGACGAAGCTTCACAACCTAATCGCTCCGCTGAGCGTGGCCTGCTCTAGTTGCATCCGTGGCTGCCTTCCCACTGCGGCTTTGGAGGGACAAATGCGCGCGCGCGTGTGTGTGTGTGTTTTATTTTGGCCGGACGGCCTGGCACCACCCATCCCTCTGCGCTCACCTCTGCGCTCACTGAGCGCCACGTGGAGTGGAAAATGCAGCCACGTTGAGCGCTGCGCATCGTGACTGCATCCGGTGGGCCTGAACTTACTTCGCTGAAGCGGCTCGGATCGCCCGAGCGGCTCTTTGCCCTGGCCGCGTGCGCTCGACAAGTGTGCGATGGCGTGCGTGTGCTTCGGATGATTTGCTGAGCCCAATGAAGATCTGCCAGGCGCTTCAGAATGCCTCGAGACAACCCGAAATGGCTAAACGCGGCCCACGAGAGCCCCAAGACTACCCCCGAAGAGGGCCCCAGGACTTCCCAGGAGGACGTCTGGGCACCTGAGGCGCTAAGGATGGCCCCAGACGACCTTCAGACGACGCCGAGTTGGCCTGGGAGAATCGCCAGAGACCCTCAAATGCCCCCAAGAGGACCCAACAAGGCAACAAGACGCCATCTGAACGACGCGAAGAAACGGATCTCACGCGAGAAGACATGCGCGAGAAGACATCGCGACCTTACGCCGCGGCTTACGCGGGCCGCTAGCGTGGCACACCGTGTTGGAGAAGAGGGCGCTTACGCGCGACCTTACGCGGGGCGCGACTGTCCGCGCAGACGAGCTGATTTTCCTGCGTCGCTAATGTGAGGGCCCCGAGAGAGGCCCCAAACAAACCAGGAGGACCCCGAGATGGCCTCAGGGCTACCAAACGATCCTTGTGTCACACGGGTCGGCGGATGTTGCGCAAAGTCGGTTGAATCAGATTCCGTGGGCATCATGTACGACGAGAGGCTATCACTCGAGAAGCTCCTCGACCTGTCTCTGCAACACGTTGTCTTCGATTTTGTTCCCTGGCGGCGCGCAAATGCCTCACGCACTCCGTGTCTTAATGACCTGATTTTGCCTACTGCAGTCGACTTCTGGTGGCCCACGGTATCGGACTCCCTGTGGTCATTTGTGCATCCATCGAATGGTCTTCTCAATCTGCTCCTCCTGCTCTTGTCTACTGCGTATTGGTAGAATAAGCGGATCTCCTCCTCATCGGGTACCGTGTCCCACATGCTCGATCCAGAACCGCTGTCAACGCACCAGGGGTGAACTTCCGTCTTCCCAGATGTCTCGCTGCCGCTACCACCGCGCTCGACAGACTGCACACAGCCCATGCTCGACACTGGAAGCGACACCGCTGGACTTGCTGGCAGGCGGCGGGTTCACAGCCGCGCGCCGCCAAGCCTCGCCCCCCCAGCTGTGCTTGAGGTCAATCGCTTCGAGCCAAAACCGCTACAACCTCTACGCTTCTGCGCCCGCACACAGTCATGGTCCATGTTGTCGCCCCCGCGAGAAAACACCCATCCTGCCCTCATTTCGCAGCAGCCGTGTCGTGAGACTGGCAACCCAGAGCGACTCACGAACCTACCATGGGATGCAAGCCGTGCTAGTCCTCCTCCTTCCTCCTCGCCGTATGTGCGCCCCATGGCTCTGGGGAGCCCGTGAGCTTGCGAGGGACTCGTCAACGCCGTAAATCGCCCAGGAAGAACTCCCTGAAGGTGCGAACACCACATTCCCCAGTGCACCAACTCGACATCGGATCAGCAAGAAACCCTATCAGAGAACCAGAACCGGGGTTCCGCCCATCCCTTCGTGCGAGCCGGGGGTTTATCGATCACCACCGCCTGGGGAATCGATCATCAGGGACCTCGGCAGGCAGGCGGTAGGTGTGTATATGGACACACGCACACACATACACACATCCATAGACATAGACATTGACATATACCTATACTTAAACATTTACATAGACTTGGACATAGGCACATACTTATACCTATACGTACACCTATACGATACCTGTACCCATACCTATCCCATACCTATACAGAAACCGAGACCTAAACCTATCTATCTATCTATCTATCTATATACACAGACATACTAGATATGTGTATATATCTAAAAAAAGGGGGCCTTGGGAGGGGGTCATATATGTACCTCCTCCTGTTCCTCCTCCTCCTCCTCCTCCTCCTCCTCCTCCTCCTCCCTCCTCCTCCAACATCCTCAACATCATCCCCCAGATCCTCGTCCTCCTGCTCCCCCTCCTGATCTTCTTCCTTCTTTTCCTCCATTTCCTCATCCATCCTCCTTCTCACTGTCGTTCTCGTCCTCGTCCTCGGCGTGGTTGTCGTCCTCCTCCGCATTCGTGGGCAAAAAGGGGGGGCGTCCAAGAAGGGGGGCGCAAGGCATGGCTGGCGGCATGTGCGCGGCCAAGGAGGGGGGGGGGGAAGGGGGCGGGGACGCAGTGAAGCAAGAAGGGGCGCCGTGAAATCTGGGGAGATATCATGGACCCCGCCATGCTATCCGCCTCCCCTGGTCATCACCCCCCTCTCGGCCGCCCCCGGCTTCCCCGCTAGACCTTGATTAATGGGATCCGCTCCAAATCGCCCCCCCCGGGCCCCTGCAGGGGGCCAAAGCTCCCGCCCCGCACGCCACGACCCCTGACGGCCCCGCGGGGGGGGGGCGGCATCGAGGAGGCGCCGCTCCGAAGCCTCCTGCTCTTGGCCGCCCCAGTGCGTAGCACGCAGACCGCAGCGTGCTGGCACGAAGCTCAACGCGGAGAGATTTAAAACGTACACGCCGATCGGAAGTAGGTAGAAGCATGAAGTAGAAAGACGGATAACGCAGATTGGTCTCAGGCCCTCCACGAGTACAACCCAACGCAGCACAAGAGTATCGGTTCTTCGGGTAGAAAGGCGCTTGAAATAGGCTGGGCTCTGGGAGTTCAGAAATGCCTACTTTCAACGACCGGCGTGTACGTTCGTCGCGATACGGTCGGCAAAACGTGAGCCAACACGCAGCGTGTTAGCACGGACGCCTTGAACACGGTACGCCGTGCGTTTCGAGAAACGGGTGCGCCAGGGCAACTACGCTCCAGCGTGGGCGGAAGAACAAACAGCCGTTTTTGCTGTCGCGGTGCTGGCGAACGCACAGCGCGACCGGGGGGGAAGCGCGCACGCACGCACAGACCCATGCTCGGAATCGCCGGTGCAGCGCAGGAGGCGCGGAGGGGGGGCGGGCGCGAAGGCGGGCAACCGGCGGCGAGCACACGCGCGGGGCAGGCAGACCCTCACGAGCAGTGCGGCCGAGGAAGAGAACTCGGGGGCGTCCAAGAGGGGGGCGTCCAATAGGGGGGGGCGCAAATCATGGCCGGCGGCATGTGCGCGGCCCAGGGGGGGGGGCGGGGACGGGGACGTAATGAAACAAGAAGAGTCGCCATGAAATCTGGGGAGATAGCATGGCCCCCGCCATGATATCCCCCCCCAGTCATCACCCCCCTCTCTGCCGTCCCCGACGAACGCACGTGGGCCGAGACAATCAATCAAACAACGCAGGCCGAGAACAACAATTACACCGGAGGAAATCCCAATCAGTGGATGGTTTGAAACAAGATCGATCAAAAAATCGATCAGGAGATCGACCGGGAACCCGGGAACCCGGAACCCACCGAAATCAGCCCGGAACCAGTAACCAGGAACCCGGGAACCCGAAACCGGGAGCCTTGGAACCCGGCCGTCTACTAAAATCGGCGGGAAACTTTCGCGAAACCTTTCAATAGTTCTCTGCTAGGGCGTCTTTCAGTGCAAGCACTGATTGGGGAATAAAGAAAAGGAATGGAGGAGGAGCAGGAGGAGGAGGAGGAGGAGGAGGAGGGAAGAGGAGGGAGGAGGAGGAAGAGGAGGAAGAGGGAGGAGGCAGAGGAGGAGGGAGGAGGAGGAGTAGATGGCAAAACATCCACCCCAATAATAACCACCCCGACGAGCGAGGCCGTTTAGTCAACGCACCCAAAGAAGGAACCGAACAGGGCAAGGCTTCTAGTAAACGCCCAGGGCCGTTGAGTAAACGCCAATTGTCCGGTCCGGGCGGTTGTTCCTCCCTTGAAGGAGGAGG